CTAGGCCGACTTTCACACACTGTCAGTTGCAGGGGCATTATCTGTGTCTCGCCAGTGTTACACCAGATACAACCTGTGATACTGTCAATACAGCACACATCAAACTCACTCTTCATTCCCGCTCATCCCCCTCCCACTACAATGGCAGACAGGATATATATATTACTTTTCATCTACAGTTTTACATCAAGCTATAAATATTACGATATCCCTTCTCTCCTTTACACGTATTTGTTGCTACAGGAAGTGCGTGCTTGTTGGTAAAAACAGTTGTCACATAGATACTGTTATTTTGGAAACCTTTTTTAGACAATAATTGGTCTGTCCACAGATCCCATATATAGTGTTATCACTAACGTGATGTCTGCAATCTGTACGCTTGAAACAGTAAAACAAATATTCTACTCTACAGATAACTGATCGTTTCTTACTAGGAACAAGTGTGTTCTTTGTATTTGTAGTTATGTAATATACCAGGCTAAATTGAACTTACTGGTAGTACTAGAGAGCTCACCAGGTTACATTGAAGTTTACTGGTAATACTAGAAAGCTCACTAGGTCACATTGACCTTACACGTAAGACTGTTATATAGAGAGCTCACTAGGTTGCATCGTGTATGACTATTATATATTACATTGAAGTTTACTGGTAGGTCTTGAGTGAGCCATGGCACAGCAGCAGGTTAAACAACTTTGAAATAGAAATATTTCTCTGCTACAATACTGTGAAGATATACCTGAGAATGCAGTATTTACCTCAGTTGTGTATTGAAACCATTAGTCAGCAGGTAATAATTTCCATCAGGTGGTTATTTAGGTCCTTCTGACCCTCTGGTCAATTATCACTTAGGACAGAAGCTAGCAGGACTGTAATTCTGTAGGGTAAGGCCATATACTCGCTCATCACATATTTATGCAAATTTTTGTTAATGGCATATTGTGTTAATGTGCATGTTGGCTGGTCAACTCTAGGTGATTTAGAGGTCACTGTTAACAGACTCTGGGTATATGTTGAATCATTAACTGTGTGTTACATATCAGATTATGATAGTTTAGATCAGTCCCACATTGTCCCGACAGTTTCATGCTAATGACTGTGATGGATGGTAGTGTAGAGGAGCCCCCCAGCTCCCCCTGTGTTAACTGGTATTATACATCCCACACCCCCAGTGTTGTGTGTAGTAAATGAATCAAGGTGCTGCCACACAAACTCTGCCCTCCCTACAACATCCACAAATTATTACTCTCATTTACGCTCATCAATAACATGTAACTACACTGTTTTTCAGACATCTATGATTTTCTTTTTGCTTAGATTGATAAAATCCATGTCATGAGGCGGTTTTGTCTGGTTAGATGTCGTGTGTTAAGAAATTGCTGGCAATGCTGCTGTACAATGGGTCGTGATAACGAGCTACAATTGGTCTCCATATAAACCTCATAACAATGTGTAGTATTCATCAATAACGATGTAGGCTTTGTGTTGTTGTGTGTAAATCATCAGCATTTATTTAGGTATCTGGCCATGGGGCTATGTTGATGTTGGATTGTGTGTGAAGCTGGTAGCGTTTAGTCACTGTCTACAAGATGTTAGTATTCCTGGGGGTGGAGACTAGTAGTTAATGGTCGGGTACAGGGGAGGGGGGAGAGAAACTGATGATCACAGCCAAACATGCTGTTATAGATAACAGCTGTCACTCCTCATTCCAGGTCATTATGGCTCCGAAATCTCTATACATTTTGTTACGGGGTCAATTAGTACTACCTTTACTTATAGTACTGGGGTTAAGGGTCAAACCTTACTGGTAGGGGTCAATAAATTAATAAGTCAACGGTCAGCAAAATATGTGATCATATTTGATCACATTTTACCTATCGAGAATTATAATTAGGAATTAAGGGTGACTATAATATGTTACGGTATATTGACCTAAATAAAAAGAGGTCAAGGTTTCTTAATATAAACCTGCAGTCGCGATCATATGACAAGGGAGACTGATGAAATGGGGAGGCTGTCTGAGAAAGATACTATGAGGGACGTCAAGGCCAGGAGGATACTGTTCCTCCTTCAGTCAGATTACACGGTTATTACATGCTGTCTTGTCACTGTAAATAATGATACGATACATTCTCCGAATTATCCAATGAATGAAGGGGAAATGAAAATCAGAGGACATGTCACTTAACTTTAGGATTTATGTGAGCATGGCACATGTTCAAAACATCACCACGACATACTTTTTCTTGAAGAACAAAGGGATCATGCTGTTTGGAATGCATTGTAGTGACACATCCTCTGATAAAAATGAGAGCTAATGCAAAAATTGAGGACACGGCTAGAGAAAGTTGTTGAAACATTTGATTGTCATACTGGTTCTGTTTATTTTGTGTTCTATTCATTCTATGCTTCACAGAGGAGGTCAGAAGGTAGTACCTCCAGTAACAAGTATACAACTTGTGTTTTAGTGGTCGGTGTGTGTGTGGGTGGGGTGGAGGGGGATGTAGGTGGGGATAAACACCAGCATCTGTTTAGCTCACCACAGGGGCCTAGTATCAGGCCTACACGTTATACCATTCACAGATCACTAGCACTTACTCAGTCAATATTATCTACAATGTATTTTCAAAACCAGATTGGTCATAAAATATAAATGCAAAAGTTAACTTGGTTCCTACTACATGTATTTGTTTCAACTAGATGTGGGATTGGGGTAAGGTGTTCAAAAGGATGTCTGATTTTTGCAATGAAGACACTTTCCGGATTTAGATTCAGTTCCTTAACCCGATTAGGATTGATCACTGTATACAGGCAACACTTAATATAGTTCTGGAGGCAAAACTAAATATAGTTCTGGAGGCAAAACTAAAGGTAGTTGTAGTACTAATGGTTTCAGATTACTTTTGTATGCAGATTTGAAATTACATCATGTGTCAAACATTTGTTTATCAAATATTGAAGATCAAAGGCAACGATTGATAGATCAGTACAGGTGTACCTATTTCTGTGACCGGAGTTTGATAACAGGATAGGACAATTCTTATTTAATGGATCAATCTAAACAATCCTTATTCCTTAGATAAATATATCCGTAAATGATTATCTGACCCGAGTTTGATGAACATGAGCAATTCTTTCACCTCTACATATATAAACTGGACACCCCTACATATATAAACTGGACACCCCTACATATATATAAACTGGACACCCCTACATATATAAACTGGACACCCCTACATATATAAACTGGACTTGCCAATGCAAGTCTTTGATTTGGTAAGGTTCAAATGTGACTTTCGGAGTAATTCTGTTGATAGATTTTATTTGTTATGCAAATCTGTAACCAAAGTTTGATCATCATGAACAAATCTTATGTATTTGCAGCTGGTATAATAAATATTGATTAAAATATGCATTTATTAAGGTGTAAATTTGAATATGATTTGGTTTGTAAATAGTAATTAGTATTTACAGATTTACCAATAGGGGCCCAGCAGGTGATTCCTGTACACATCTATCTATTCATGTATTTTAACTGAACATTTTAAACTCTTAACCTTTCCTGCTAATCACAATTTATAATTCACATAAATATTAATGATTTAAGTATTGACATTGTATATATATGAATATTTAGAATGTATGATTGATATATAGCTGTCTGGTATGTTATATATAGGTATGGTGTGTATATATAAGGGCTATGGTAACTACAGTACGTTGGTATGATCTGTGGGGATCAAACACTTCCCTAGATATTAGATACCTACACAGCTAGGTGTGTCCATATAGACAGATTACCGTAGTTAGAAACAAAACTTTGCCTTCATTTTGACAATCTTAAAAGCGAGAATTTTCTAAAAGAAAAATAAATCTCTTGGTTTTCAAGAAAAGAAATACATAAACTTAACTTTACCAGAAATTTAAAAAAGAAATGTCTAAAGTTAACACAAGGTTTCAAGCTCCATTGAATGTCTCTAATTAGCATAAGGTCTGGGAGATTTCAGATTCTCAAACAAGCAGAAAATAGTTGCTAGTAACATTTGGGACACTTGAATTGAGATCAGCAAGTACAAAAAATTCAGTTTGCACAAAAAAATAAAAGGGATAATTACTCTTTCTGAACATATTATTCCTTATATCAACAGAGAAAAATTTGGTTTTATTATAGTCAAGATCCTATGAAAAGATTTCCAAAACCTGTTTATAGTTCAGAGTATTTTTAGACGTTTCATTGTCGAAATACTGTCCTTGGTCTGTAGTTATAATATTTATTTAACACAGTCAACAAATGAATCACACACAGTACTCCTGGCATGGTATGCTGGCTAATGTCACCATTGTACTACACCATACTCTCCTATTTACAAAGAATTCCATTTTATAAGTCTGCATGATCCTGTAGTATTATATATAGATATAGGTTACTTCCAATTTTGGATTTTGTCCAACACATCCGCGTTGAAGGTGACCCCTGGGTTATCATGTATGGCCCTGTTGACAGCGTTTCACACTTTGCTGAAGTACATTCACTTGTTTCTTTTAATCTCTATGCAGAAACTGATTCATTAAAATCATATCAAATTTTTTATGCTTCATGTGTGCACAGAAGAACATTGTTTTATATTTCAGACACTTCATGATCAGTTTCTGAATAAGTTTTTTTCTTTTCTTCATACAACAGGAAGTTTTCTTTCTGATCTGTCTCACCTGTGACAATAAGCTGGATTGTATGTTGTATATTTAAAGATATTATAGATTCCTGGGGTGATTTGATATATATATGCTAGATATATCAGCAGTTATTGTACATGTCAATTTCGTTATTCTTTTATGTTAAATTTTCATTGTTAAAAATTTTCATTTGTGTTCTTGACTTTGATGTCGGAACAAATTTTCAGCAGAGCTGATTTGCCAGGTGCTGAAAAAGTTTTTAAAATTTACAAAAATTAAAAGTAAATCAGGTGATAATAAAAACTTAATGGTTTATATTTTCCAGTGGACGCTTGTGAGCAGCAGACCAAACATGGCAGACAAGCGGCAGCAGAAGCACTGCTCAGTATGGACTCTCCAAGCACCAACTCCGAGAGTAAAACCTTTCTACAGGGAATCTTACAGCAAAATCCAAATACAGGTACATATACAGCCTAGGACATCTCTGCTGTATTCAGCCTATCACTTGTGTTGGTCTCATAATCATTAGGAAAAGACAATTGTACAGATGTACTTATTAAGTGAAGTGGACGAGAAACAAACACACCTTTTGACAGTTGATGAATAAAACACACTTTATATCACTGTAATTAATAATAGCAACGGTTTGTTTGGTTAAGATACTTTTACTTATTGTTGATGGGGAAAAAATAGATTTACTTGGTTGTGTAATGAAATGTGCGCATTTTGCAAGACATTCATTAGGGGATTAACACCTTCATTCCAATTGTCTTGGCAATGCTTTTGCAGTTACCTAATATACAGGGCTTTCTCCGATGCATCATAATAACATTGTGGTAATTCCTGTACCTTGTATAATTCTGTATAAGTATTGGGTCCAGTCCAACAATGCTTATTTTCAAATAATATCATTGGATGTTGCTATAGTAACCGGCTCATTTCCCAGACGCCAAATGTCTTTTGTGATGTTGTTGGATTGACTTCAGCGTATCATCTGGTCGTGGCTGATATCTAATGCTAATGATGACACGTTGATTTAACAGTAGAATATAATGTCGTTGTAGTGTAAAGCTAATGTCAGCATTCTTGTGTCTGACTTTAAACATGTGTATGAAGAACAGACTCATTAAGAGTAAGACAGGATTGTTCTTATCAGTGTCAATGACTTTTATCAAACCTAAAAAACAGGTTCAACTGATCCAAAATAAAAGTCATAAGGGTTTGAAACATGAGGGATTTCTGAATAAAACTGATAGGAAAACTACCCAGCTGGAAGTTGTGTATATATTTCTTAAGGACATAGGTTTGAACAGACCCATACCGAAATAAGTTACAAATAGGTATAACTTTTTCGTAACTTTTCAGTAACTTTTTTGTACTCCTGATAAAAGGTACAAAAAAGTTATAACTTTTCGATACCTTAATTTAAACTTAAACTTTACTAGTGTACCTTTTTGTAACTTTTCTGGACTTAAAAAAATTCTTGTATAACTTTTAGTACCTTTTCTGGACTTAGAAAATAATTGAACTGCTGGAGAAGAACTTTGAATATTTTTGGTATAACTTTTTTGTACCTTTTCTGGACTTAGAAAAAAATTGCAATGCTGGTGAAAAACTTTTAATATTTTTGGTATAACTTTTTGTACCTTTTTTGGACTTAGAAAATAGTTGCAATGCTGGTGAAAAACTTTGCATATTTTGGGTATAACTTTTAGTACCTTTTCTGGACTTAGAAAATAATTGCAATGCTGGTGAAAAACTTTGAATATTTTTGGTATAACTTTTTGTACCTTTTCTGGACTCAGAAAACAATGCCAATTCTTGTGAAAAACTTTGTAACTTTAAAGTTAGAACATTTTTGGTACAGTGGAACCCAGTTACATATATATATCGGTTATAATGAGATTTTCCCCCCATGTACCCATTTTTTCCTTCTTTAACTAGGCAAAAAAATATCATTTATTATTATATGGTCAAAGGTAGGAACCCGCTTATTATGGTGTTTTTTTTCTGCTGTGAATTGATTTTAAAAGTAAGTTGTCCATGTGAAACACCTGGACAATTACGTAATAGGTCCGGCTAACTGTACATCGCCCGAGGTAATCATCGGTCCACTTCAGGTAAATTTTTCACACCTCGCTCCACCCCAGTCAGCGGAAAACAATAGATCGACCATCGCTTGCTGGTCATACATTTTGGTCTTAACAAAACATATGGTGCAGTTAATTGCTGTAGGACTGTATATCAAATTAAAATAATTAGACCTACTGAACACAAATTCCGATAAGACAACGAGCATGCCTTTCACAAATATTCACGGTTACCTTGACCAATCATGTGAGAAAATCATGCCGATTTCAATGAAAATATTACTTCAGAAGGAAGACCTGTGTATTTAATCATTTAAGCAATAGTTTCTCAATTGCATTAGAAGTCGATTTCCCGTGTTTCCGTTGAAAAAGAGTCAAATTCGAGACATACATTTGTAACGACAGCATGGTGCCGGAAATCGTTCCAAAGGTTTTACGTTATTGTCGTAAACAACTTACGACGGCTGCTTGGTTATTGTTACAAAGGGAATATTTTTTGTTTTCAATTATTATGGTTGTGTCCATACTATTTGTATTTAACAATAAATAGTTATGATTAATATGATGTAGGACTTTATCGTTATTGCAGCGACGCCCTATGCGAAAAATTAATCTCGCGTGACTATAAATAGCCTTATCAAATTGGCCAATGAAAAGCGCGCGGGTAAATTTTGTATTCGATCGACCTCTAGATTTTGAACTCTAACCCGGCGAGTCACAAGAAGTAAACAAAATATTGGAACGTGTTTTGGTTAACTGGAAAGACGATACCTACTTCATCATATCCTTGAAGACATTGGAACGTCCGTGAAAGAGCTTGGTATATACGCATTTGCTGATGAAATCCTTCATGAATCCCAGGTTTTCTGGGGAATATCATGGGAAGATCGTCGCCATTTCAGGGAATATTTCAGGTAAGCCATCAATTGTATTTTCATCGAAAGGATTCAATACAAAACGCAGAGTAAACATATCAAATTTATTAAATAAATACAGTACCATGACTGAGACGATGTATATTTTTTTCTTATATGTTTGATCTTTAGAGATGGGCAGATGGCAGTACTATCTGTTAAAAAACACCGATTATTTCGGTACCGATTACATTTTTCGTTTACTGAGCTACTATATTTGTATACAATTCGGAAAGTAGATCTACTTACCAGAATCCGTTTCGGTGTATAATAAGATTTTCGATATTTGTTTATTCTTTGTTCTTCAGGGAAAGGAAGGATATTTCAGTGTGATGTTTAATTTCTAGCTTAATATATACTCAAACCCCGTGCCGAATATATATTTTTCCTGTACAAGTATACACTTTTTCGTTTTTTATAAAGTTAACAAACACATTACAAATATTGAAATCATTATTGGAATTTCTCCTTCATGACATGAAATAACAGAAATTTAAAAGCCAATGCATCTTAATTTCCTATCAATATATTTTAAGATTGAATAATTTCTACTTAAATGGTTGCTTACTTATTTTTTGTTAATCTTAAATAGCTTTGGAATTTCTAAATTTCCTATGATTTTCTTCACCTATTTGAATTGAAACGTAAGAGTACCTAAAATAGAAATGTGAGCAGTACAATGGATGTTGTTTTTATAATCTTCATATATCGTTAAAAAGATTAAAAACTTTTCAAAAAGGAAATTTAAAGAGATATATCTGAATGTTTTTTAAGCAAATGGCATGCAAGTAGCAGGCACTGTTCAACTTCTGCATACTTCATCAAATATTGTTTAATGACGTCCTTTGAAAACATATTGAATTTTATTTCATTTTTTTTGAGTAAAATTTTGAATTCTTTCAACTTGATAAAACTGATATTTATGCTTCTTGTTTTGTGTTATTAAAATAACTTGATATTCCTATGACTTGAAAGGGAAAAAAAAAATTCTTCAAAAATTGAAGTGTGCCATTTTAAATATTCCACAGTAAAGTTGCATGATCCCTCTCCTTCCACACTGCATGTCCTTACCCTGTTCCCTACAGAAACCTTTATGTATAGCTCAGTATATACATCAGTTAAATTAGAGAATTCCAATTTTTTAAATCACATTTTTTTCTAATATTTTCTCTTTTTCTAGATGATAACAAGAGCTGTGCACACTGATGGGGGAAAATACAGGCAGAAACAACAGATGAAGAATTCTCAGCTCCACCTCATGAGTCTGTTATAGAGGTCCATGAACCTCCCCCTCAACCCCCTGCTGCAAAGAGAATCAGTGCCGAAAACAAATCAAACAAAGGTGAGTTCATTGATTTAAGGTACTGATTTTGTGATCTTTTGTTTAAGCTTTTGTAATCTCAGAAGACTCCTCTGTCTTTTGTCTAACCTTATTGAAATTTGACAGCCTTTATATGGTTACAAGCTGAAATAAAAATGGCTTTCTTTTGGAATTTTGATTTCTACAATTATTAGGGCCCCACATCGAAGATGCGGGTATGTTCCCTTATAGTAATCAGGTTGTCCGTCTGTCTGTCCATTTTTTTTCTTTTGTACAATATTGATGGAAGTAAATGGTGTAAGTTTTTTAAAAAATTTACATGATGATTTCCCATGCATCCTAGTTCTGCTTGGTAATATTTCGGCAGATCTGAATCAAAATGGCTGCTAATCAGCCATATTGGATTTTAACATTAAACATTTTTTTTTTGCTCTTAAATTATCGGTAAACATTTTGTAAAGACATCATGAAGCAAAGTTGGTCACAATACAACAAGAAATCAACTTATCGAAGGTCAAAGTCATTGGATCAAAGGTCAAAGTCAGATTTTGTATCTTTTTACTGCTTAACAATTTATTATGACATGATGAAGCAAAGTTGATCAGAATTCAACAAGGAATCAACTGACCAAAGGTCATAGGTCAAGGTCACTGGATCAAAGGTTAAGGTCAAATTTTGTAGCTTTTCATGAATGAGCATTTAATGACATGACTTAATTCAAGATCAATGGTAAAGGTCAAATTTAGTATCTTTTCACTGGTGAACATTTCTTTATGACACTTTTTACTGATGAACATTTTGTTATGGTATTATAAAGCAAAGTTGGTCGGAAATAAAGAATAAGTCAACTGACCAAAGATCATGGTCACTGGGTTATAATTAAGGGTCAAGGTCATTTGGGTCCAATGGTCAGAGACAAAGTGGATCTCTTGACTTTGAACCCGGCTCTTGTTGGGGAGGTATTTAAGGTAAAATAAAACAGATCAAAGCCAACAAATAAGTAATGCACTGGTATTTACATTTAGATAGATTTTGCTATTACATTTATATAGATATTATATACCATTAACTCACAATGAACTGAAAAGCTTTTCATTTTGAATCTCTTTACAACATATTGTAAATATATTAGCAATCCGATCAACTGTTACAATGCTATTGTGTTGTGTCAAGATAAGACATTAGAGGTAAACATGTCTTTAATTTCTTGTTTACTTCCTGCTTGTTTAGGAGACTCATTTTAATTGCAAAATTATATTATTTTGTAAATTGTGTTATTGCTCCTTATCTTGACAGATGGTGGAGCTTATACCTGGGACTGGGGTTTATGTGTATCCCAAACACATAAAAACTACACAGAGGAAGACGAAGGGGAACAGGTCGACAGATATTTGATGTCAGTGTTCTTCACCAACACTGAGCTGGTCAACCTGGGAAAGGTTTGAACCAGACCATTGTTTGAGCAATAATTGGTAATTATGAATTAAAACTTTTTCATAACAGCACAAAAGAAAAGAGTTCTACAGCAATTCTCTTTATGTAGTAGTAATATCACTGAAATTACAAAAGTATCGCTATAGCTACTTGAACTGATTAATGGTGCCTGTCAGTGAATAATAAATAGCAAGTTTACCATAAAATGCTACCAATATAATTTCACCATTCATATTCATTAATTCCTAGAATTTTAAGTGATGAAGAAAGAATTAATAAAGTTGCAATTATGTTACTAGCTATTTTTCCTAAACCATCTGCTTTTCAACAGATTATGCTGAGGCGATTCATGGGAAAAGTGGCCTGTCAGAAATCAAGTTTTCAATGAGGACAAAAATCAGTGCTTTGGTCAGCTTGGCCAGGAGGAACTCAACCACATAGAACAAATGAGACATTTCAACTTTTAAGAACTATTAATATGATTGTTTGTTGTAACTTTACAAGAGATATTCTATTAATGATTATTTTAGGAATGGTTATGTGAAATAGTTGTGAATACCAGAGAATAAAAGTGAGTATGCTAGTGTCAAAGCTGGAGAGAGTCATAGTCAATGCAGGGCACTCCCTGAAAGTCAGCATGAGAGTATATTTATTGCATTATTGTGTATTATATTGTAAAATAATAGTAACTACAGAAAGTATTTATATAATAGTAACTACAAGAAAATATTTTTGATGTAGTAAGTGCAAGAGAATATCTAGATGATAAATAGTAACTTCAAGAAAATACTTATATAATAGTAGCTAAAAGAAAATATTTATTCATATAATAGTAACGTAAAGAAAATTATTTATATTATAGTTACTTCAAAGGAATATTTATTTATATGATAATAACTACAAGAAAGCAGGTGATATATAATAGTAACTTCAAAGGAATACTCTATTAAAATAGAATTTCATTTAAACAACAGATCCAGTAAAGGTTAGGTTATGATTTTTTTTGATACCTTTTCATAATACATGAGAGGTTTATGAAGCTTTAAAAAGTTATACCTAACAAATACGATTTCTCCATTTTTCAGTACCTCAGAAAAGCATAACTTTTTTGTACCTTTTTAGTAACTAAATAAAGTTATAACTTTACTAGAACTTTTTCTGTACCTTTTCAGTATCTCAGAAAAGTATAACTTTTTTGTACTTTTTTAGTAACTAAATAAAGTTATAACTTTATTGTACCTTTTTACTAGAACTGTTTCTGTACCTTTTCAGTATCTCAGAAAAGCATAACTTTTTTGTACCTTTTTAGTAACTAAATAAAGTTATAACTTTATGATACCTTTTTCACTAGTGCTTAAGTGGCTAAATGTAACTTTTGTGTACCTTTTGTTTGCAAATAAAGTAATGATTGAACTGAACAAAGTGTTTGAGTGTAACTTTTTAATACCTTTTTGTAACTTTTTAGTACTAGATTGAAACTCTCTTCTCACAAGGTTCCAATCTAGCATCAAAAGTTATAACTTTTTTGTACCTAAATAGAAGTAACTTTTTTGTAACTTTTTTCGGTATGGGGAATGAATATGAGACAAATTTTCATATTTTTTTTTGTATTAAGAAACATGATAAAGGTCTGAATTGAAGAAATGTGATAAGTGTAAATGTATTAGATATCTTGAATGTCATATTAAATATTGGGGATATACACACCACACCAGTGTAGAGGTTTAGATCTACAGGTGATAATTCTTTTATACAATTAAACCAATTGTGATAAGGCAAAATTTAAATATAGTACAAGTTTATGAGAGTAGGATGAAGAGGTGAATGTATACTTTTAGCCTGGCCAAGACCCTCATTACATGATAACCAAGATGGGTGTACTTTAGAGGGAACAGGCCACCAAATCAAACCAAATAGGAAGTTAAATGTTTCAGATCTCTGGAGGGGTAATTAGAATTAAAAGAACATTCTGATAGAATAAATGGTGTCTGCTTTGTTCCATTTAATGTCAGTGGTGAGATTATCGGCCAGAAATGGTTGAGGTAACAAAGCGTTTCCAGTATAAAATCTGTACTACCTACGGGGCCTACCTTTACCTTATCAACGGTGCAGGCTTATTGGGGTAGCGATAACACAGCTTTTCCACATGACTGCTTCCCATGAAACAGGAACACGGAAATACACTACTACAAAGGATTTTCATGTCGTCTTGTGAAATAAGTGTGTCATGCATGCAATTGTGTAATTTTATTTCTGAGCTTTTAGCTGTTAAGAAATTCATTATCTGATCAATTTAAGCAAGATCAGTTCCTGAAGATAAATTATTTTTTCTGACCCCAAGATTTTCAATTGCATTTAAAAGAAGAGATAAGAGGTCTTATACTGTTTCCTGGTTGTTAGGTCTTATCAATGCTATAGATTTCACACGTTCTTTTTTGGGGATGTTTTTTATCAAGGAACTGCTTCCGCACACGATAAGATACTCTCTCCCAGAAGTTAAAATGTTCCTACTTTTATCAGCACGGCTAGCAGATAAGGTATCTACATCTAGAACCTGTAACAAACCACATGGATTGGTTTGACATTTCTACGTCTGTAGCTACAGGATCAGAGGGGACCCCGCACAGGAATGGAGTTCAGATCCTGGGGCATGTAATTTTTCTAGATCATTTATATTTCTTTTAAAAGATATTTGGGATAGTTTAAGTCGGATATAAAAGATAGTTGGGGGTAGGTTAATCAGACCAGCACAAATTCAACGACTCATCTTGCTGACCACAAATGTTTTATAAAATAATTTAGTTTGATACAATTAAGTAAAATCAATGAGTTTTGTCAACTCCAATACAAATATAACAAAACTGTAATAGAACTTGTGTTGAGAACATTTGTCAAAATTGGCAAAGAAGATTATGGTAAATTAGTTTATTATTTCTCACACTGTCTTGTAGATCCAATGTCTTACCAGCAGACATCACACTGTCTTGTAGATCCAATGTCTTACCAGCAGACATCACACTGTCTTGTAGATCCAATGTCTTACCAGCAGACATGTGTCGAGTTAACTCAACACTTGCGGCGTATAATTGTCTTCCTCTACACTTTGTTAGGGTATAATTTAACAACAATAAAAAAATCCATTCACGCAACTTAATTGTGCCGTTGTTATATCATATGACTATTTGTAAATCTAAGTTTGGATATTGTTTACGAAAATCAGATATATCCACTTTCTGGCCTGCCTGTCAGAGCTTCATTTGTATTTCAGACATGTTTTGTTTGAAACAGAATTTGAGAGATCAATAAGTATGATATTTGTTGTATTTATAGCACTGCCACCAAGTCCAGCAGACACCGACAGTGGCACCGACAGTGGTATCTCAGAACCCGAAAGTAGTAACCTTGAGGACAAGGCCAGAATTCTGGGTCTCTCAGATGCTTACACATCAGGTGAGTCAAGCTCTTGTAACAGACTGTTGAAGTATAAATGACTCTCCAGTAAGTATAAGTGCATCTGTACTGTGTTGATCACATCAGTTTTACAACTTGTCCGTGCAGCTTTGTCACTTTCACTAACACAGTTATATATGTATTTGACCTTGTCAGTACAGCTTCGTCACTTTCACTAACACAGTTATATATGTATTTGACCTTGTCAGTGCAGCTTTGTCACTTTCACTAACACGGTTATATATGTATTTGACCTTGTCAGTGCAGTTTTGTCACTTTCACTAACACAGTTATATATGTCGTATGAATCTTGATCTTGAATCATCAATGATATTACTAAAGGATGTTGGTAACTGGTGATTGACGCAGGAAGTGATTTTTTGATGATATACAAAGGGATCGTTATGACACTGTGACTTACTTACATCAGATATTGAAAGGTAACCACTTATTGATTGTCACCATGTGTGGCCATGGACCTTGTATACATACATATACTGAATGGAAGAATGGTTTCCTGTTTTGTAATAGAGGTGAACACGGGTGCTTTGAATACTTAGTCCTTTTATGGGCTTGTGAAGCACCTCAGATCTAGTCACTAACAGGGTTCCCAGCCTCGTGTATAGACACTACACAACAAAAGCCGGGGAAATACAAGGTGTAGCTATGCATCAACTGGTACTGCTTTGTCTTGGCAATGTCGAGTGTACGCTACAAATGGTTTTTAAAATTCCACCATTTAAATGACCTGGAAAAAAATAATTGATCTGCTAATCAAGATCTGTCTTACAATGTTGCGTGATCTGATTGGATCAATTTAAAGAAATGTTTTTCATTGTATAGACTATTTTGGGGTCAATGTTCTCAGCTTGATGACATCACCACTAAAAAGAATATTGCTTTGAAACCTTTCCGATTAGATTGTGTGGCTACAGTTTAAGCTATAACATCAGTGGTAAGCCGATGTATGTGGAGTCTAATTGCCAGTTTAATGGGATCATCTTACCGATTTGTAATCCCTATTGATTGTCTGTACGTCACATAAGATTGTTCTACTAGAAGTATACCTACCATATTTAATTATCCTTAGATATTTTACTTGTTTATCCAGGGGTTAACATGACCTTTACATTTTATCAGGCATTGCTTCGGATAATGGCAGAATTTTCACATGTTCATTAGATATAAGCAGGCAATATTAGAGATAGGCGTTGATTTAGCTCCCTCTATTGTGAAGATTTATTGAGTTAAATGCAGCTCGGGTGCACTTAGTGTGAATGGATCAATGTGGGTGACTAAACTCGAGCGTAGACATGGTGTAGTGACAGTACATAGTACAATGATACTGTCCTATCTCATTCACATATTTATTTATAGGGTCCATCAAATTTTAACAATACTAGGTTTTAATTAATAACAAATCAATTGGTTATTTAAGTAAGTTGAAAATCTTTCAGAAAGCTTAACAAAAATTGTAAATGGGTCAAATAATTTCTTGATCAAGGTAGAAAAGTGGAATTCATGTATTATTAAATTAGTGTCGTATCAAATCTCTATGACTGAATGAAATATTTTAGCATAAATATTTTAGTTGTCTGTAAAACAAAAATAAAATAAAGATATTTATGTCAGAGTTGATGTTCCTTCTGTGATCTGAAAAACATTTTCATAAATGTTACGGGAATTGTTGAACTTGTGGTTTTCATCTGTCTGCAAAAATAACATTACGAAACTGTCCTGTTATTCAGAAATTTGTCTTGCCAATAATTTGTTATATTTTTTTCCAGCCTTTTTAGGGAACATTCCCAGGTCCTCTCCAGCGCCATTCATCCCTTCTTATTGCCAACAGGGGCCACCAGCTCAGTCCATCCAGCCCCCTCCAGCTCACCAACCACTCCCCGCACACTTCAACACAGCCACACATGTGGCCATGCGACCAGGTAAATATGACAGGATGAGGGCAGATAACTCCCAACTCCCCAGGAACCAGCTGTCTATAATGTCTGCTTCAAGTTGTTAAGTGGGATAAATAAAAAATCAATACAAGCCTAACACATGATCTGATAGCGGTTCTATTTGGAAATTGATTAGAGGATGAGTAAGAGGTTCGCAAATATATATTAAAAGAGGGTCAGGTAGCATGGAGATTAAAAATCACCTTATTTAGAAAGGTTCCTAGATTTAGGTTTATTAAAGAGTAGAGCAGCTTACACCTTTGTAATGATATACGTTTATTGTCCTTACGGCGGGGAAACATGATTCTTTGTTTTCTCCAGGATTGATCTTGTTTCACCAGGTTGAAGCATTATTAATCGAGAGTAAGTGTTTTCTTACCAAAAGGAGCAGTCAATATTTATACTGAAATAGAACAATGACATGACAGTGAAGATCATCAGGCTTCGGTGCCATTGTTCTCATCTCCTTCAGTCACCTGGAACTCGGGTATGGTACTGCTTGCCCATTTTTCTATAGAGATTCAAAATCAGGAAAAGGAAATATGTTTGGAGAGGTTCGAGCCATGAGGAAAACATAGCGTTGTATTACCCTGTCACATGATCAGTATTCCGTCTATGCGTATTGCAGAGTTATCTTCTCTTTTGAGCAGGTATTGATTGTTACGTCATTGGTTTGTGAGAGTAACGTCATCAATTTTTGAGAAAACGACGTAATTTTCTCACACAAACCATTGACGTAACAATCAATAACTGCTCACAAGAGAAGATAACTCTGCAATACGAAAAGACGGAATAATCCAGTCCAAGAAGCTGTTACATAGATGAGGTATAATAGTACTAGATGACCAGTGTTAAGTGTTAGCTCAGTGTGACCTACTGCTGTGGGTGAGGTCAAGTCACGTAGAAGTGTACCTTACCAGAGTGTATACCTACCTAGGAGTGTATACCTACCTAGCCAGGGTTAATGTTCTACAGTAAAGAGATAAGTCAGCAAGGACAAGAGATGGCCTCTCTCACTAGGGTTTCCCTGCTTGTTCTCTCCCCTGAGTCTGATATAGACAACGATGGCCACTGCTGAATGTCTTATACATTTCCATGTGATTTATGTGGAGCAATTTCCAAAGATTGTGGATCATTTGGGAGCAGGAAACTGCCGAGGTCTAGACGATCAAATATGATTATTAGTTGGCACTTTCTCCTAACCTGCTGTAAAAAGGCGAATATCTTTTATGAATCTTCCATCCATCACATCCCATTAGACTGGCCATGGTTTTTTAAGTCCAGTTAGAGTGATTTTCATGCGTTTGACTCTTTAATGAGGGATATCTACCGAAGTGAATGGTTACAGGGTGAGGTCTTATTGACAGGTCTACTGTCCCCACGGCAACATTTCAAACTCCGTTATCTCATTCTCTTTGCTTTAAATGATATGTTACGATCCAAAATTGGCCTAAATGGTGTTTTTTCATGACTAGATAGACTTTTGTTTGTACCCTGGAGGTGCAAGAAAGTCTTTCCTGACCTGTCTTGGACATTTGAAAGAGCACCCAGTAGACTCGTGTTTCCACACGTTTATAAAGCATTAGCTGTGGCTAGCGTGCAAATCATCTGCTATCGGGACGATAATTACTGGGCATCCCATCTCTCGAGATATTAACTGAACTTGATGGAATATTCTTACGTCCAAGCATATGTCTATGTATTTTTCATTGTCGCCATAACCAATCTTTATGACATTCCTAAAATGGTTTCCCTTTTCTCTGGCGAATACCTGGTACACATATCTCGTTACTGAAATGTTGTACAATAAAATGAAGGTGGTTCTACAGAACATTTCTTTGTGTAGTAAAAGGTAGTTCTGGTTATTGTTTGAAATCTATTTGTGTTTATTGTGAAGTATATATTCCCTACAGAGCTCTCGGCTCCTCATACTTTGACTATTCTCCAACAGTATGCATGCATGCTTTATATATTTATCAATAATCTCCATGTTTGATACACTAATCTCCATGTTTGATACACACCAGATCTCACCATACTGACACTGCCTGTATTCCTCCTGTTTTGAAGCTTCTCTGACATACTATATATAAATCTAGTAGAGACGGTTTAAAGGTGTAACTTTTATTGATAACATACATTTGCAAGTCGAGTTCTACTTTTGGGCTAAATTTACGTAGATCGGATGCTTTCATTGATAAACTCCAGTAGTATCTCCTTGGCACAATTATGATTTATTAAAACTTCAGATAGCATTTTTTGTATTGATTTTAATCAGATGATTACACATTTCCTGGGTCAGAGGCTTGATAAAACCAGAGTGTGTGAATTAAGGTTAATTTTACAAAACTCATACAAGTAGGAACATGCTCCTGGAAGGACTTGCTTATCTTGACTGGTAGATTGGGTTATCTAAAAGTAGGAAAGGATGCTGTTGGTTAAGGTTTAAATTACATATAAAAGGCATTGTTGATTTAGTTGAAAAGAATAGAATAGATATAAAGTGGGTTTTTTTAAGTTTTTAAAAGTTAATTGATTTGAACACATAAAAAAGTGGATTTTTTTTCAATCGGTACATGGTACTTTAAATATTGACCTGAAAAACCTGACTGCCATGATAGATGTGTATGATGTGTTTAGCAGGTATTTTTATCGTGAAGGAGGAAATGTTTGTTAGGTGGTCACATGCTCCTGTCAATTAGATTACAGGATGTCAGATGTGTGTCAGGTGTGTGTGTGTGTTTGACCAGAAGTCGGCTAATATTCTATTCAGGTCAAGAGGTCTTGGATAAGATAGGACCCTGTGACTGAAATGATATCTCTTTGTAACGATGCTGTAATCTGTGGGGGGCACTTCAGGATGGGCCAGTTTGGCTGCTTGTCCCTCTAACCGGTCAATTTATACAAATTGCAGACCCTGGCACACACTGAGTTTCCCAAAGAGACAAAACAAAAGTCATAGTGCAGTAATTTAATCACGTTCTATATATGGCCGTTACTGTTGTTTATATAAAGAACTTCTTGTAACTTCAAGCTGTGTTACTTGACCCACAATTACTATTGAAGTGTTTTAGTAGCTTCAAGGAGCAACCAAGTCCAAGTGGACTTAATAGTTCATTGTCCAAGGTTTTAATTAGAGAATCATGACAGGATGTTGGGCAATACACCATAGTACATGCACAGTTTACAGATACTGTAAAATCTAAATTCAGAAACTGATCATCTATTTGGTGAATAATAAATCGCCTCCCTTGTCATATGATACTCTCAAGATATGCTAAATTCAATATGTAAACCTGTTATTGCAGGCGGATATATGCACTTTAATTTAGTCTGATACAAGTAAGTTATGTGTTGACGGGATGTCAGTACTGGACGGTCCCACCGTGATCCACTAAGGTCAAGGCTACTAGCACAGACAAAGTGTCGCCCACAAAGAACCTACAGACCTCGATTGTCTTCATATCCTCACTAACTTCCTTGTTTCCTGTTATAAACTATGTCAATGACTTACGGAAGACATTTTTGTCCTCGTGCCACGAAGATGAAAGTGTTTTTGTGAAAGTGCGGAAACGCATACAAATCTGGGCAGACTAGTGTCAACACCCAATCTGTTTATTTTCATTCAGTATCTCCAACCCAAACCTTACTTGTATTTCTTTTTTATAATTGTCTTTTATGTAAATAAGTAAAATTCATATGTGGATTAATGTTTCATAAAAAAAAGATCGAGTACAGTATATGTTTAGGAGTAACGCGAACTTCAACCAATTCCTGAAGTAATTTTGCATCATATATGATACTGGTGACAAGCTCTGAAATGCCTCTGTGTCGCTACACTGAATGATTCGAGGGCCAGAAACTGATGGAGTTGTTTGATTGGTTTCAGATCATGTGTACCCATCCAGTCCATTGCTATCCTCTCCCATTAGTCTACACCCCTCCCTCGACTCCGGCAGCCTGTCGCCTACAACCCCACCATCATCGCCTATCCGACACAAGAGTAAAAAAGGTCAGTATCTCACACGAATGCCTCCTCCTCCATCACCACCTCCCAGCCTCTCCGGCCTTCTAGATCCATGTTGGACCTGTTCAATAGCTGATCTACCAAGATTAACTCAGTGTAGACAGTTGTTTGTCACCCTACTACAGGTGTATTGATGTTGCTAGATTGAGAATGGTCCTGACAGGACATTCACCTACACTTCACGTAGTACAGTAGTACATATAACACTGTGGTTGCTATGACTTTGTAAAAACTTGTGCGCTGAATTTGTGCTCCCTGGCAGTGAGTTTTGTCACAGACAATGAACTGTTAGTTAACTGTATCCTCTGCGGTTGTCAAAATAATACTGGCTGCAAGGGTTTGTCAAAAAAATAAACATTCAGAGCTAATTGTTCAGGCCCCCTTTGAGGATGGTAAGAACTTATAAGCTACATATAACTTATTTCTTTGGGCCCCAAGGGATTATAGAAGAAAAATACTTGCTTAAAATATAAAACTCATTTCCTAGGTTCCCTCAGTTTATCAAAGGAATACTGTCTGCAAAACTGTTTTAGGCCCCATAGAAATTGGCTAAAAATCTATTTACTGTTTATTTTCAAAAACTTACTTACTGTTTTTATTATGAGCTTATTTCTAATCCCTTTCGGTTTGTCTTGGTATATATGTGCTATGGAGCTTTGTTAAAAAATATTGTGCCAAATCAAGATCACATACATGTGTAATGAAAATGAACAAACTAAACGCAAAAGGAATATTTGATTCCTGTCATGATATGATGAATACCCAGAACGCTATTTGTGGCTGTAGAGGGATTATTTATTAGGAGTAGTTTTCGGAGAGACAGATGTACATCTCGTAATTCTGGTCGAGAGGAAACAAATCTAACAAAACATCTGTCATTTTTCAACCTGAATTTGTACATGTCAGTTCAGTGATGAGTGTGATATTTTTTTATCAGCTTATCAGGTAGAAATTGCCCAATGCACTCTTAAGTTTATCACTGATACAAGATTAAAACTCAACAAATTCTCCAACTTCCGTCTATATGAACATATATCCAGTGAAAAATAGACTGTTTCAGTATTTAAGTGAATTTGTTTCCTGTTGAGACCCTTGAGGTTCGAGGCTGAAGATTTAGTAGGGAGAAATGTGGCTATAAAATATATTCCCAACATACCTAACCCTTCCTGTCCGTTACCATACAAACCAGTCCCATAGATCTCAGCCCTTCCTGTCCATTACCATACAAACCGGTCCCACAGATCTCAGCCCTTCCTGTCCGTTACCATACAAACCAGTCCCACAGATCTCAGCCCTTCCTGTCCGTTACCATACAAACCGGTCCCATAGATCTCAGCCCTTCCTGTCCGTTACCATACAAACCGGTCCCACAGATCTCAGCCCTTCCTGTCCGTTACCATACAAACCGGTCCCACAGATCTCAGCCCTTCCTGTCCGTTACCATACAAACCGGTCCCACAGATCTCAGCCCTTCCTGTCCGTTACCATACAAACCGGTCCCACAGATCTCAGCCCTTCCTGTCCGTTACCATACAAACCGGTCCCACAGATCTCAGCCCTTCCTGTCCGTTACCATACAAACCGGTCCCACAGATCTCAGCCCTTCCTGTCCGTTACCATACAAACCGGTCCCACAGATCTCAGCCCTTCCTGTCCGTTACCATACAAACCGGTCCCACAGATCTCAGCCCTTCCTGTCCGTTACCATACAAACCGGTCCCACAGATCTCAGCCCTTCCTGTCCGTTACCATACAAACCGGTCCCACAGATCTCAGCCCTTCCTGTCCGTTACCATACAAACCGGTCCCACAGATCTCAGCCCTTCCTGTCCGTTACCATACAAACCGGTCCCACAGATCTCAGCCCTTCCTGTCCGTTACCATACAAACCGGTCCCACAGATCTCAGCCCTTCCTGTCCGTTACCATACAAACCGGTCCCACAGATCTCAGCCCTTCCTGTCCGTTACCATACAAACCGGTCCCACAGATCTCAGCCCTTCCTGTCCGTTACCATACAAACCGGTCCCACAGATCTCAGCCCTTCCTGTCCGTTACCATACAAACCGGTCCCACAGATCTCAGCCCTTCCTGTCCGTTACCATACAAACCGGTCCCACAGATCTCAGCCCTTCCTGTCCGTTACCATACAAACCGGTCCCACAGATCTCAGCCCTTCCTGTCCGTTACCATACAAACCGGTCCCACAGATCTCAGCCCTTCCTGTCCGTTACCATACAAACCGGTCCCACAGATCTCAGCCCTTCCTGTCCGTTACCATACAAACCGGTCCCACAGATCTCAGCCCTTCCTGTCCGTTACCATACAAACCGGTCCCACAGATCTCAGCCCTTCCTGTCCGTTACCATACAAACCGGTCCCACAGATCTCAGCCCTTCCTGTCCGTTACCATACAAACCGGTCCCACAGATCTCAGCCCTTCCTGTCCGTTACCATACAAACCGGTCCCACAGATCTCAGCCCTTCCTGTCCGTTACCATACAAACCGGTCCCACAGATCTCAGCCCTTCCTGTCCGTTACCATACAAACCGGTCCCACAGATCTCAGCCCTTCCTGTCCGTTACCATACAAACCGGTCCCACAGATCTCAGCCCTTCCTGTCCGTTACCATACAAACCGGTCCCACAGATCTCAGCCCTTCCTGTCCGTTACCATACAAACCGGTCCCACAGATCTCAGCCCTTCCTGTCCGTTACCATACAAACCGGTCCCACAGATCTCAGCCCTTCCTGTCCGTTACCATACAAACCGGTCCCACAGATCTCAGCCCTTCCTGTCCGTTACCATACAAACCGGTCCCACAGATCTCAGCCCTTCCTGTCCGTTACCATACAAACCGGTCCCACAGATCTCAGCCCTTCCTGTCCGTTACCATACAAACCGGTCCCACAGATCTCAGCCCTTCCTGTCCGTTACCATACAAACCGGTCCCACAGATCTCAGCCCTTCCTGTCCGTTACCATACAAACCGGTCCCACAGATCTCAGCCCTTCCTGTCCGTTACCATACAAACCGGTCCCACAGATCTCAGCCCTTCCTGTCCGTTACCATACAAACCGGTCCCACAGATCTCAGCCCTTCCTGTCCGTTACCATACAAACCGGTCCCACAGATCTCAGCCCTTCCTGTCCGTTACCATACAAACCGGTCCCACAGATCTCAGCCCTTCCTGTCCGTTACCATACAAACCGGTCCCACAGATCTCAGCCCTTCCTGTCCGTTACCATACAAACCGGTCCCACAGATCTCAGCCCTTCCTGTCCGTTACCATACAAACCGGTCCCACAGATCTCAGCCCTTCCTGTCCGTTACCATACAAACCGGTCCCACAGATCTCAGCCCTTCCTGTCCGTTACCATACAAACCGGTCCCACAGATCTCAGCCCTTCCTGTCCGTTACCATACAAACCGGTCCCACAGATCTCAGCCCTTCCTGTCCGTTACCATACAAACCGGTCCCACAGATCTCAGCCCTTCCTGTCCGTTACCATACAAACCGGTCCCACAGATCTCAGCCCTTCCTGTCCGTTACCATACAAACCGGTCCCACAGATCTCAGCCCTTCCTGTCCGTTACCATACAAACCGGTCCCACAGATCTCAGCCCTTCCTGTCCGTTACCATACAAACCGGTCCCACAGATCTCAGCCCTTCCTGTCCGTTACCATACAAACCGGTCCCACAGATCTCAGCCCTTCCTGTCCGTTACCATACAAACCGGTCCCACAGATCTCAGCCCTTCCTGTCCGTTACCATACAAACCGGTCCCACAGATCTCAGCCCTTCCTGTCCGTTACCATACAAACCGGTCCCACAGATCTCAGCCCTTCCTGTCCGTTACCATACAAACCGGTCCCACAGATCTCAGCCCTTCCTGTCCGTTACCATACAAACCGGTCCCACAGATCTCAGCCCTTCCTGTCCGTTACCATACAAACCGGTCCCACAGATCTCAGCCCTTCCTGTCCGTTACCATACAAACCGGTCCCACAGATCTCAGCCCTTCCTGTCCGTTACCATACAAACCGGTCCCATAGATCTCGGCCCTTCCTGTCCGTTACCATACAAACCGGTCCCACAGATCTCAGCCCTTCCTGTCCGTTACCATCCAAACCGGTCCCACAGATCGCAGCAGATCTAAGATGTTATAATTTCACTCCATGAACACAACACGGGTGTTATGTTTTCATTTCCTGCATTTCTGTAGGTTCTTTTATGATTAGCCTGCAGCAGGGCAGACACAAATGAAAGTTTTGTTGATAAATGTGTTTAGTTTGAACCGATGACATTTGAATAATCATTTACTGTTTTGGAATTATTTAAATTGGTTAAGATTAAATTCAAATGGGCCGAGATAAGATTGGTGGTGGTTGTTTAATCACATGCCTGTGGAAATATCTACTTTGTACTGTGAACCATCATACAAAATAAGTACTTGAGGCAGACACTTATTGCTGCTTTCTAAATGTTATAACTTCATAGATACAATGGTCATGTTTTAAGCAGGAAGAAAAGAAGTGAACAAGTGGAATATCACAGCTAATTATTCATAATAAATGGAGAAAATTGGGAAAGACAGATATGAGATTAAATGTTTCCATGAATAATTACCTCCAGTTGACTCCCACATGATGCAGTGCTTCAATTTACATCCTTCTAGACAAGCAGTGAGAAAGTGAACATTTGTCAATCAATGATCGTGTAGAGATGCTAAATCTACAGGTCGTACATCAGTACACAGAGTAATGGCAGATCATTGTAGTTTTACGAGGGTTTTAATACCAGTCACATGACAATAACACCACCATTAAGTCTCCTCCTATCATCACTGTTACCCTGTGGACCAGGCAGCATAAATCACCAGATTCACTTAATTTGATCAGCAAATATTCCTAAGTGTTAAATAACACAGGTTTTTATCTATTTAATGATAACTGACAATCAAGGACGGGTTTTCATCTATTTAATGATAACTGACAATCAAGGAGGGATTTTTTATGTGTGGTCAATTCTGTATGTTAGCACTGTAACTCTGTAGTGAAAAGTAAACTTCAAGGAACCATATTTTATTCTACAGCATTTATCTTCAAAAAGGATATGTAGGTCACTTACCAGGATAAAACCATGTAAATAGCGATATCAGGAATCCTCGACATACAGTTGGTCTACGAGTCCACCTTGGCCACACCCCTTTAAATATTCTACATGTAAATTGCTGCAGACTTATAGAGAGGTTGACACAAAGATTCGAGGACCCAGATAAATGTGTGATTGTGAGAGATGGATATGTTATCTGAGAGGGCTACCACTTCACATCCAAGTACCCAAAAAACTAACTGGCTGTACGGTAAAGCACCATGTGCTAGTTTTTTCTTCACTACCAATTCTCCGACCGTCATTATCATCAGCTGAAATAGCTGTACGGCGCTGTATTATGTCGAGACAGAGTTTTTTTGGCCGCAATTTTCCTCGTAAATTCTCGCTGTCCTTTTTAACGGACTTGGGTTTTCCCTGTTTTTGTGGTACATTTGTTGCACATAACATGTCTTTGAAGAGAGGATAAGTAGAGCAGTGTCACTTGTGATTGGATATCACCAAGTGATACATTCAGGCCCTGCTGTCTACGCCTGACACAATTGACAACAACTGCTGGCCTCCCTTTGACGATCACACGCACACGGAAAAAACAAAGGGTTGTACGTGTAAGGGGAAAGACGCCTTGACCTTTCCAGAGGTCAAACTTAAGATGAAAAACTGGCAATAGTCCTCAGCCTGTTTGATACGAATAATCTAAATTGGTTCTACTTCTTATGATGAAAGCGATTTTTCGGGTAATTCTCTGCTATTGTCCTATTTCGTCGTTTGTAATGTAGAGAGCTTCCCATTACCCAGTGACAGACAAAATACAATGGATGCTTAATTTATACAATTTCTTTTTATACGAACACAGTATTGCACATTTTCACGCAGAACAGGCACAGAATGTACAAGAGAATAATGAGAATGCTTTACATTAGAGGTGTTAGGGTAATGAGAGAGCCTGGCATGGAATCAAAGCTGACATGGAAGTCCCGACCATCCTTGCAGTTTTAGGATGTAATCATTGTAGCTACGACACATCACTTGTTTGTCACTACCACCAGCCAACGAAGGGTCACATTCTGACCTACTTCTGTTACACTTCTACAAGTGACTCCAAGCTGTTCAGATGTCTTTTTTCTATGATGTTTATGTAAACAAAAAATGATTCTCTTTTTTATCCTTTCTTATAATTTTTATTTTTTAATCGTCTTTGCAGGTCGCAAACCAAAAAATCCCTTGGAATGCCCGATAAACCAACCTAAACGAAAAAGAGAAAGTGAGTATTGCATTAAGTAAAGAGAGAGTTTTGTTCTGCTGAAATTGAAAAGAAATTGATATTACTACAAGTGAAGACGGAGATTTGTTGTGATACAACTGTAGGTACATATCCTGCTGCCCCAGTTAAACAACCCTCTAGTGTGTACACTCCTGATCTTGATGGTCCCTGTTCTAAAGAATCGTCAAAGTCCTCCCAGAATTGTCTCTAATAGAAACTTGGCTGCAACTACAATGAAGCCCCCCAATAATTTTGTAATTTAATGGAAGACTAAAGCACGCAAAAAATCACAGACAGTTGTTTGTCCTAGGAGCTGCTAACAGCATTAATGTAATGGCTGCTTGAGTACGGGTATTTCCAGCTACCTGTAATACAAACTGGGCTGCCATGGGCTGCTGCAGGCTCCAAGAATACTCAATTGTCTACAAACATGACCCTCATGCTTTCATCAAAAACAGTTTTCTGTATGAAATTTCTCCTTTGTGAGCATCCGAAATTGTGTGTGTGGGGTTTTAATAAGACTTGTTAATATCAGGCAGACACGACTTTTGAAAATTTCCTTTTTGCGGCAATTGTGCTTTGTAGCTGCTGCCAGCTTGATGTGATGGATGTAATTGTGTCAGTAGGCCCGAGTAAGGTGGGCATTGTTTGGATATAATTCTGTATTTTGACGAGGGCTTACAAATGTCTTAATAAGTCCTTTAGCTGCTAATTACAGGTGGCTGACTTCATCGCTAACACATGATTCTGCTTATCACCGTCTCACATCTCTTTGATAATATTGTCCCTGAAGTTTTGTGAAGAATTTTGAATACACAGTATTCTTTTCTACTCTCGACTGTTTCCCATTAACTTTATTGTGTAGGAGATTAGCCCAGTGTCTGGGCACGTTGATACATACCATGCTCTCTTTTGTGTACAATTATCACTTTACAATCAAACCCCATTACGATCCAGATGTGATTTAAGTTACGCGCATCATTATTTTTGTATTTACACAAGACATGCAAAGGCGTACAAAAAACAATCCGAAATTAAAGCCAGTTATATGTCGTCCGACTGCACCGTCTGAACTAGCAGGCTGATCAGTGGCACTGCTTGTGTATAAAGACTGGACCGCTTTTGACAGATTTTGGCACAAACTGTTTGTAGCACCTGTTGTCCATTAGCTTTATCATATAAAGGAACTTATAAAGAGCTTTCTAATATGGAGAAATGAGAATGTGCATCCCTTGTAAAATCCTGGCTGTTTGACAAACTTCTCCATGGGTTTTTTTTCTTTTCATTTCAAATGTACATGATACATTTGTAGTGTAGTGAGCCGGTATTGATTGAAGTTTCACAACAAACACAAACAGATTTGTTTGTTTGCCTCAGATATATTACTGTTTAAATTTAATCTTTTTGTGTAACAGGTGTAGACACTAATTATAAAATAATTGGAAATGTTCTATCTTACCTGGCTTCATTACATGGCGGGTGTTAGTGTGCGATTAGTTACATACAATAAAGAATTAACATGCAATGACCCTATGGAGGTTACTGTGGTATCGAGGGCACCTGCTAAACATGCAATGACCCTATGGTGGTTACTGTGGTATCGAGGGCACCTGCTACAGTAATCTGTAGAGCAATGTGGTTTAAATTAATTTCTTAAAATCCAAATATCCTGTTATGTAAGTAATAGTTGATGTGTTTCTCCGATATTTATGTCCCATTTTTTCCCTTTAAAGATGATTTTATTTCTTCACTTTACAGGTAGTACAACATACTTGTGGGAATTCCTTTTACAACTGCTACAAAACAGAGAGACCTGTCCTAGGTATATTAAATGGGCCAACCGGGAAAGGGGAATCTTCAAGCTGGTCGACTCCAAGGCTGTGTCCAAACTGTGGGGACTTCACAAGAACAAGCCAGACATGAACTATGAAACCATGGGAAGAGCATTGAGGTAGGGAGCTCTTNAAGGGAAGAGCATTGAGGTAGGGAGCTCTGTATTATCATTGGTCGAAACAAAGGAAGGGAATGGGGTAGGGAGCTCTGTATTATCATTGGTCGAAACAAAGGAAGGGAATGGGGTAGGGAGCTCTGTATTATCATTGGTTGAAACAAGGGAAGAGCATTAAGGTAGGGAGCTCTGTATTATCATTGGTTGAAATAAAGGAAGGGAATGGGGTAGGGAGCTCTGTATTATCATTGGTCGAAACAAAGGAAGAGCATTGAGGTAGGGAGCTCTGTATTATCATTGGTTGAAACAAGGGAAAACAAGGGAAGAGCATTGAGGTAGGGAGCTCTGTATTTTCATTGGTTGAAACAAGGGAAGAGCATTGAGGTAGGGAGCTCTGTATTATCATTGGTCGAAACAAACGATGGGAATTGGGGCTTCAGATTACACTTTAGTGAAAACTGTTACATACTTAGCAAAGATATCCATGGCATCACAGGAGCTTTTATTGACTTGAGACTGATCCCAACGCGGACAGATGACATGCAGGAACACACTTATATGTTAGTTGAGTTTGACAAAGTTGTCATGTCATATTATATAAGATTGCTTGTAAGTTAATCTACAGCCAAGTAACAGGCGAGTGGTTAAGTGCATCCCTCTGATAACTGCTACTTTTGTGGATACTGGACGGGAGAAGAGATATTTTGTCATGCTGCACGGCTCCTGTGATGTGCGGCGCATGCTGCACGCTTAATTTATTCAGATCTTTTCGTACTTGACATTAATAAAAGTTGCTGTGATTAGATGATTTTGTATGGTTGATGTTCAGCGATGGTGATCAACGTGCTTGTGTGTTTCTCCTTCCCTATCTTGTTCTTCATGTGAGGTATAATTAGACGAGTCGTTGATGTCGTAATTAGCATTACTGTACCACACACCCTCACAGCTACAGTGGGCTAAAACACACACATCACTATATTCTTTGTCTACTTAATTGAAATCTAGCCATACCTTTCTAATTTCTGGTATTTATCTGTGACAAACAGCTACCTGTCTTACCTGTGAAATACACTTACCTATCTTACCGGTGATATAAACATACCTATCTTACATGTGAAATACACTTACCTATCTTACCTGTGAAATACACTTACCTATCTTACCTGAGAAATACACTTACTATCTTACCTGTGACATACATTTACTTGTCTTCCTGTGAAATACACTTACCTGTCTTACCTGTGAAATACATTTACTTTTCACACCTGTGATATAAACTTACCTATCTTACCTGTGACATACATTTACTTGTCACACCTGTGATATAAACTTACCTATCTTACCTGTGACATATTCTTGCCTACTAAATTTGACTTCCAAGTTCATCATAAAAATATAGATTGTTTATCCAACACTTTTTCAGTTTTATATTCCTAAAAGAAGATTCTGGTAGCCTATTGCTATTTGATGATGACAGCAGTAATCAAACACTGATTTAGTGAGAGATAAAATGTATCCACATAATGAAAAGTTTAATAAAGCACCACAGCTGACGTCCGTATAACGTTTATTTGTAACAGGTGTGACAGTACATTATTATGTTATTATAAAAACATTCTGCAAACTCTCACCTACATGTACTCTATGAAATTTATGTGTTATCACATCAGAAAAAGACTTCCCAATCGTCTTTGTTTTATTCATAGATGACCTTACATATAGTTCAAGTCCGATTTCCCTGAACATGTGAATTATTCTGGCAGCTAAAGGTGTTCAGTTGTATAATATATATCATAACCATCTATACAAAGGGATACGATGGGAACCCTTGTTATATAGAGGTTTGATCTCTAGTCGAGGGAGACAGCTAGTTATATAGAGGTTTGATCTCTAGTCGAGTTTGATCTCTAGTCGAGTGAGACAGCTAGTTATATAGAGGTTTGATCTCTAGTCGAGGGAGACAGCTAGTTATATAGAGGTTTGATCTCTAGTCGAGAGAGACAGCTAGTTATATAGATGTTTGATCTCTAGTCGAGGGAGACACCTATCATGTATTACTTTTCATTATGATATTGCACATCTGGGATTTAGATTTTTGTTTAGCCAATCTGAAACATCTTTAAAGTAGTTTGTTTTTACCAAAGTGTGTACATGCCACTATGCACACTTGAGAGGGATGAATACAATGCTTGTGATCTAGGATAATGATATTTGAATTTATTTTGTAAAGTTATTATTGATATTTATTAGTTACATATTCATAAGGTGTGTTAAATGTGTTTTCTTGTTTTATTTTAGGTACTATTATGCGAGGGGAATACTAAATAAGGTTGACGGGCAGCGACTTGTGTACCAGTTTGCTGAAGTGCCTAAGTCTATTATAGAGATTGACTGTGGGAATGTCTGAGGGTCCAGTCAGTAGAAATGAGCCTTCTCACAAACACTATAGGGCCGAGGGGCCAAGAGTGGTCCCCAGTCTCTGGCCCTCCTGCAATCACGATGTGCCATAGCTCAGCTATCAGCTATAGACTCCACTATGACTCCCAGGAGTCGAGAAACACTAGAGGTCTGTTCAAGTTGGGGTGCCAAGTAATTTGGACTTGAAGTCGAAGAAGATTTCTGTCTGGACATTCAATTACGAAACTGAAAATGACAAAGAAATTCATCTCGGACAGTTTAATTATTGCAGTTGTATTTTCTTGGACTATTGTACAGTTCAGAATGGACGTGATTGCTGTGATTAATCAGCCACGATCAGTGTATCGGTATACAGAGTGGCCGGTATACAGAGTGGCCGGAGAGACTAAGTGAAATGGAACTGGACAGGAATGGAGCTCCATTTTCATCAGTCAGTCGACTTAAAAAACATATTCAGGGATGTTTGAATATTGCGACTGTGTTTGAGTGGGAGTGATGCCTGTAACTTGTGTGACAAGTTTGTTTTGGATGAATGAAGTGAACTGTTAAGAGTGAGTGTTGGTGGTGAGTGTTTAAGAGTTTAAATGCGTATTGATACAATATTATAATATTATTATACGAGTGGAGGTTTTCTTCTTTTTTTTTTAGAAAACATTATTAGAAAAAAGGTTTGTTCTATTTTAAAATTGCATTATGCAGGTGTGATATATTCCTTACGTATAGGACCACTCCATACATTTTGTCAAAACTACAATCACTCAACCCAGCAACCAGAAATTGTTTCATACAGACGTGAGTGCAGACAAGTATGAACATGATTAGGAGGACAACAGGAACTGCCTCATTTCGTGTGTGATATAAGGTTATAGTGCTGTATTTAGGGGAGGAAACAAGTGCTGCCATGTTAAACCCAGGCCTAAGTTGTCCTAAATACATACAAAATATCAGTATAGGTACAGTTAAAATAACTAATTAATGTGATCTGACACACCAGTGTCAAACCCATGGGCCTAGATAGGAAATCACTTAGAAAAACTTAACCATTGAAATGAAAATCATTTTAAAATTCTTTCAAGTAATTAGGATGAATGTTAAAAACTCATTTAAAACTGATTTGAAATTTTATATTCAGATGTTACAGTAGATTTTGCAGATCCATGTAAATAAAGTATATTGTCCTAAGGTACATTTCTGGTGCCATTATCATTTCTCTGATAGAACCCTATCATCACAACGAAGAGTAACTGTATCTGGTCGTGTTACACAGAATAACTTAGGGCAGGGCAGTTTACATAGTCAAATGCTGGGAGAGTGTGCTTGAAGCCAAAATTTTTCCATTATAACTTTTTTACCCAAGTTAAACATTCCTGTTTCATACATGATTTACCTGACGTTGACCCACTTAAAGTGTTCAAATAGCCTACCTGTTCTCACCTGTAGTCACGTGTCAATGACAGGTGGTGAGGATCTTGTCTTATGCGTTTTGGGCGTGTCCCTGCTAACCTGACTCATCTTACTTGGCTGTATTTTACCTGTATCCAGGTGTAACAGACAGGTTTTTTTTGTTCTTTCAAGTTCAGCTTTCTAGGTTTTCTTATCCTGATCAAATTGAATTGAAAAAACATTGCAAACAGACAAATATTTATTGATCAGTTAAACTCCAAATAAATTGAGATTTGTTTAACTGCACTGTTTATAAAACAAAAAGTTTTTTAATTGGTAACATGTTATTTATTAAGCTAACAAATATCTGAAGAGTTGGCCCCTGGAAGTTAGCAGTGCATGAAATAAAGCCTGAATACTTCCTATTTATCATGGTATCAGGCGTACAACTCGAAGCGACAGTGTCATATTTATTAAAGTTTTACCCAGTTGATACTAAGGTGAACTGGTGAATTAAAAGTTATTTTTATCTCAAGGAGTGAGTTGTGGTTTCATAAGGCTTTAATTGTATTCAGAAAACTGAGATGTTGTGTGTAACTGTTAAGGAAGTCAAACTTCCCTGATCAGTATCGCATTATTTTACTTTGATGAGTAACTTTGGGTCCATGATTTCAACTGAATAGGCAAGTATATTAATAAATTTCACTTGACAAATGAAATACCATTGATGCAGATAGATCTGATTTTGAGCAGCTATATACTGTGTTTGTCCTTCCTTTCTCATTTTATCATTTATCATTTCACAATTGTGCAATTTTCCACAATTAAAGGGGTCCAATATTTGTTTTCCTACAGTCTACAGGGCTGCAACACACTGGAGGTCGGTAGACAGAGGATGATATACATTCTCTTCATTCAGAACATTCATCTTGTTGTGGCAAAAACCATTGACATTCATCGATTAAGAAGTACAAAAGAGCTTGGTTGTGTATCTATGTAGAATATCTGTTTGAGGTATGGTGGTTTAAATTTTATCACACTAGGAAAGTTGAGGAATCAACGGGGCTAAGTGAAGGCTTGAGAATCACATCATTTTGATGTAGTCAAGTATACAGTTTTTGGCAAAAGGTCACATTCTGTGGCAGGCAGGCAGTTGTAGGCATCATTTAGCACAGTACTCTACAAAGTGCAGTGGAGAAGTTCTCGTGCAGATCAGTCCTGATTAGGTCATCATTAAAATTCCTCCTCCACATCTCTGCTTTATATCTTGCCTGCATCAAATCTATTGACTGTGTTCTCAAGGTCAATCAGGACATATATTAACCTTGACCCGCCTTTGACCTTAATTAGGTAGTCACCGGTTTATGGTATCCTACATAAATGTACAACGCTATGTAGTATGTCCTTGGTGTTTACTATTGATCTATGTTCCACTAAGTACAGGATTTCTGACAAGGGATAACCTGCTGTCCTCCTCCTCCAGTATGTGAAGTGGGTATTTACATATAATCTGGCTATTTGTACTACCGAGTGTTTTCTTAACATTGTCTCTCAGTATGCTACTTTTACGACAGGTTAAGCTCGGGTTGATATAGATGATGTCATGAATATTGAAGAGGTGGTAAGATGTGTGTTGCTGTGGTATATGTAGACATGATGTGCGGAGATAAGTATGACGCACAGTTATGTGTTTACTGTGACATCAGCCCCTGATGGCTTGTTTAAAGAAAATCTCCTCCTAAAGGGCATTAGACCACTGGTCCGTCGTCACTTGTTTGTTTACTGTTAGCGATGTATTGTTGGTCCTGTATTTTTTATGATTAACCCTTTATGTTTGTATGAGTGCCTAAGATTCATTACGTTTTGTGTTATTGATGAAACACATTGACATGCTATCATTATGTAAAATATTTAGTGATTGTTTTGTGTTTTGACTCCTCTGACTTTTTATGATGTTGTTGTAATCTTCACTTTTATTACATTTTCTTGGGTAAATAGAACAATTTATTTTATAGTGTACTGTTTGATTTTAACAAAAAACAACAACATTTATTAGCCAAAGAAATTTATTGGGGAAAAGTAAGAAAAAAACCCTCAAAAATTAAAGTACCATCAAAAGCAATTCCTGAGTGAGCTTTAATCTTTGTTACAGTTACTTGTACAATGACACTCGGAGCAGTTTGTAATATAAGGTTGTCTTGGTAACTGTTGAAGCCTCCGTGACATGCATAAGGCAGGTCTAGAACAAAGACTTACATAGTCAATATGTACTCAACAGGGAAGAAGTGGTCACCTATCTTTATGCTTTTAAGTGAAATTGTGTATTCATTACATTAGGCTTGGAAGAATAACATACCTGTTGGCCTTATTCGGCTAACACAGGCAAAGTTTTACTATTGTTAAACATTTCTTTTAAAACTTTTTTATGATTTGTTGAGATCTACTATATGACCAGGAGAAATAGTGCACCTGAATCCTATGAAATCCATGCATGTTTGTTGATTGGAGTAATTACATATCAGATGTATGTATAAAGAGCCATACATTGATAATCAAGTAACTGGATAGGTTAATCCAATCATCTGCTGAAAGCAGAGCCATACATTGATAATGTATAACACAGACATTATATTGTTACTGAGACAGCTATATCTTAATCCACATTGAGAAAGAGTGCCTTATATTTGAATCCTTCACGATATGTACGACACTAATCCAGCATGGCCTGAAGTAGCCGGTGGTGCCATACTGTGTAGGCTGATCTATTGTACACCCAGCCCACAGGTCCAGGTGCCATCATTGAAATCACAGACCATCAAACTTTATTTAAGAATAATTTTTCTAGATCCAGGAGAACACACACATCAGATTTTAAGTATTATGTTTAAGAGGAATAAAGATGGGAAGTCTGAAGGTGATCCATGAGAACATTATCATTTCCTCTTCTGATCTCTATGAGTTCTAGTAGATTAATTAGTTATTGTTTAACATTACACACTTTCAGGGACATTATAGACATATGTTGTGCTCAAATATTAACTGCCTTAATCCATCATGCATTTAGCAAAAATAATGATGTAGTGTAGGTCTAATGGTGTCTTTTGAAAACGGGTATAATTTACTTAAATTGATTTCCTAATTATTACCAACTTTACAAAATAATAACAAAATTTTAGTTTTCAACTGATGGTTAAAAACTTAATAGGATTGCTACAGAAATGAGTTCAGGACTGCTACAGAAATGAGTTCAGGACTGCTACAGAAATGAGTTCTATAGGTCAAGTAATGATAATAATTTGTGACCAATTAGATGAGCTCCCATTGGAGAAAGCTTGACCAAAGAGAAGGCTGTGATGTAGAGTGCTTATTCTGTAGATACTTATTGTGTTTCACAAGAATTTTTTTATCTGACATTACCGTTGTACGGGGATGGTTTCACTGGTCTACAACGAGCAGCAAAATGAAGAAAAGAACATTTAATCAACCGGCTAGGTGTATTATTTAAATTTTAAATGGTATGAAATATATGATGATTTCTTGATTCATTTCTTAATTCATAGTAAACAGTGAAGGAGGGGTGGGGGGGGGGGGGGGTATTTTATTTATTGAACATTATGGATATAACTGACAATTTATTATGTTTTTTACTTTCCATCTAGCTATATATATATATGTGTGTGTGTATATAGTTTTAGATACAAATTTATTTTAATGTAAATTATTTTTAAAAACAAATGAACTTTGAAATCATCATTTATTCTATTGTTTGACATTGACCTGATTTGGTCACAGTGTTCAGTATAACAGGATTGGACATCTGTTACTGGGATCAAGTGTACGGTCCGCCATTTTGTTTTGGTATCCGAGTCCACGGTTACAGTGTAATGTTGCTGTGGTTACAATTTCCATAGTGACTGCATGGTTTCCAAGACAACGATATCCAAGATACTTCTCAATACTCTTAACTTACTGGATGAATTGTACAGTATATATTGGACTTGTACAAACAAGCGATCTCTTATTGTATTTATTATTGCGGTGTACATATATGCAATGCGGTTAGAAAAAAATGAGTGCCAGTTTTTCAAATCGCAACCTTCAAATGTGGATTATAAATAAAATTAGTTGCTGTTTTTACCTCAATTTGTGTTATGCGTTTTGTATGTTTTCCAGTGATTCTGTAGAACCCTGCTAGCTGTGATAGACCTAAAGAATCTAGTTAAGATCTGTGAGCTGTCATAGACCTATAGGATCCTGTAGAGATCTGTTTGCTGTCATAGACCTATATAATCCTGTAAAGATCTCTGAGCTGTCATAGACCTATAGAATCCTGTAGAGATCTGTCG